TTTTCCATCTGGTGTGGATGAGTGATAGTCTACTTTGATTTTGGTTAAGGTAGATTATCATTTACAGTGTAATCAGTGAGGGGATTCTGCAGACTGTTGAGGGTTCAGCTTCCTGATGAGTCGGTGAAACTCCGACGACACAGTTTGTCACAGCCCCTCGTTTGTTGTCCTCTTCTCTCTCTCTGCCTACAGTTTACCGGGCAGTTCTGTTTGTGACGATGAGTGATAGTCTACTTTGATTTTGGTTAAGGTAGATTATCATTTACAGTGTAATCAGTGAGGGGATTCTGCAGACTATTGAGGGTTCAGCCTCCTGATGAGTCGGTGAAACTCCGACGAAACAGTTTGTCACAGCCCCTCGTTTGTTGTCCTCTTCTCTCTCTGCTTACGGTTTACCGGGCAGTTCTGTTTGTGACGATATATATATCGTCACAAACAGAACTGCCCGGTAAACCGTAAGCAGAGAGAGAAGAGGACAACAAACGAGGGGCTGTGACAAACTGTTTCGTCGGAGTTATGTATATATATATATATGGGGTTGTAGGTTTTTTCGAGGACTACAATCCTATATTTTTATTTTTATTTTTTGATGTTTAAGTATATTTTAAAAAAATCAAAAACATAAACACACAATGAAAAAACAAAAACTAAAATGAAATGAGTGTTTTTTTTTTGGGTTTCACACATGTGAGGCTTATGCCCCTATGAGCCCCTTTCAGGCCCTACCAAGTATCACGTCGGCCGCCCTAAGTGAAGGCAGGCACGACGAGGGCCTGAGGGCCCCTATTTCGGTCACCACGCAACTCAAGGAAATTCAGGCAGTTGCGCAGCGCCAGTTGGTTGGAAGAACCCAAGCCCTGGGCAGCTTGTTTGAATGTATTGCAGGCAGGCCCTGGGCTTGATACGGGATGTGGGCCTAACACAGGCCGTTGACAGTTGGGCGCGAGCAACTACTACAGGCCCAGGGCCTGAGTTGTGTGGACAGGGCCACAGTCTACCGGGGCCTACCAGAAGCTTCTTGGGAAAGGCCCAGCGCAGCCTGAGACAGCAAGCAGGCAGGCCACTTCCATATAGCAAAGGGCCTGCCTCCGCATTTGGCATTCGGGTGCTGGCTGCATGCTGCGTAAGCGCTGCTGCGCTAATAGCTGGCCAGCGCTCATGCGCTCACGGGCGAGCAGGAAGGAGTAGGCAGCCATAGCCGAGCTGCGTTGCTGTAAGTTGGGTGTGGCGCAGGGTGGTCCTTGGGTGCAAGTGGCATCTGTGTGTTGGGGAACGAGGTTGTGAGTGAGGTGAGAGACATACCTGGTGCTGGAAGCGTGCGACATTGGTCGCTGTATGCTCGTACTTCGGGAAAGTTGTTCATGTCATCTTCGACATTGTAGTCTAGGCTAGATAGGATCTGCCATCTGTAGTCTGGGCGCCGAGCGCCAGACAGGATATCAACATTGGTTCTTCATTGATAATGATGATGAGACTTTACCATCATTGTCAATTATGAGCTCTTGGTGTTTTCTTATTTGGTGAAACTCGTGATGCAATTCTGCTGTTGGTTCGAGGTCACGACTATCTGGTCTTGTATATATGATGTTGTTTGATTGCTGAAGTTCTCTATTGCTCATCTTCCTTGCACACTGTTGGTCTAATTCGGTGGTTTAAGAGGTGCTTCAGGTCTTGGGGGATTTTTTATTTTTTTTTTGCCTACGGCCACGTGTTTCGGACCCCGCGCATCAATTCCGTTTTTCCGAAAAGCGCGGGAGCAGCCCATTTTCGCGTTTAACGCGAATTCAACGGGATTTTTTTGAATTTAATGGGATTCAACAGGAGTTTAATTCCCCCGTTCTCCGTTAAAAAGACACACAGAGCGCAAGTGGACCGGAAAGACTTGGCCGTCACAACTTAGCACGTGATCGAAGGGCGTGGAAGAGGGATGGTACACGACACATCGACGCCAAAGGCGTTGCGAATGGTAAGCATCCGTTGATGGAAGTTGACCGTGTGGTCCACATTTGCGAGCCAAGGCATTCCCAAAATAATGTCGAAGTCCGTGTCCAAGACGTCAAATGTAATTGGCTCGCATGCATGAGGTGCAAAATAGACCTGCACGACTTCGATGTAGAGATCAAGAAGTTGTTGCGTCCGACCGTCCGCCATCTTGACTGCCGTCGGATGTGACTTCCTTCGAACTTGTGCGCCAAGGCCAACCTTTTGTATAAAGGATTGGCTCATAAAATTGTGAGTCGCGCTGCTATCCAGCAAAGCGTTGCAGGACGCTTGCCCAACTTGGATGCAGACATAAAGAAGTAGTGCGTTTTTGTCATCGTACCGTTGTGTGCGAAACTCGTGGGCCACTGTGGTAATATAGGCAAGGAGGTCCTCCACCACAAAAGTCGTCCTCCGTCGGCGAAGTTGGCGGTGCATATAAGTCTAAGTATGTGTGGAGATGGGCGCATAGTGTTGCGCATTGTGGTCCTGGTAAGCGGCCTGTGGAAGGGAGAGGAAGCCATGCAAAATCCTCGGACGATAGTGGGTCCAAGTCCTCTATGTTGAACTCACGCCCCGAATCCCTTGAAGAACCACTTGAAGACTATAAACTGTCGCCGCTTCCTGACGGGGAAGAAACCACACACACACCTTGTCCTTGAGCTTGAGATCCCAGTGATGGAACGAGTCAGGCAGTATAGTCCTCAAAAGAATAGAGAAGAGGACTTACGACATTCACATGTGCCTCAAAACTAAATGAGGCCACTCGTGAAGCAACCGGTTCCAAAGTCGTCGAGAGTGCACTGTTTCACTCTCGGTGGTGCTCACTTTCCCGGAAGGGACTTTCCCTTCGCCTTCGGGGGACAGCTGACCGTTTCGTGTAGGTCGTTGTTGCATTATAAGCAATACTGGAACCTTGTGCAAATCTTGTAGACACCCACCGAGAGACCGTACTGGAGCTAACGTTCTTTAGCTTCTTGTCCGGGCCCGAAGGATGAAGCTGTGTTTGTCTTCGATTTACTGCGTCCTCGACCTTTGGCGGGGCGGCCACCATCCCGGGCGGCTGCTAATCTTTCTCCCTCCTTTGATGGAGCAGCCTCGTTTGAAGAATTGGTCAGTGTTGTCACGGCGACCACGACCACTTTTGGTCGATGCTGATCTCTGCCCTGACCTGCAGAAGACAAACGACCAGCATTGCAGTCCTTCGTGTTCGTCACTAATATCTGCGAGGCCTTATCGAAGAGTTCCTCACTTGTGGTGAGAGTCTCCGCGACTTGCGTCAATGTCTTCTGCAATGCCAGGCACAACCTCGTGATGAAGTGTTTGATGCCCGAAAAGGCGAGCGGCAAGTCGGACGTGGATGCCAAGCTTTGGCACTCGGTTGTCCAGTCTGTGGTTGGCAAGGTGTTCTGATGAAACTTTTGGAGTTTCTCCATTGCTTGAAGCTTGGGCGGCTCCACATGGAACCACTTGCGCCATGCTGCCTTCAAAACCTTCCAACTGATCTTGGTGTGCAGCTTGGAGACTGTGACCTTGTGCGTGGACAACATATTATCCAACCATGTTTGGCACACGTCCCCCGACCAATGATATAAATACGCGTGTTGGCTGGGTCTTGTGGATGTCCAGTATCAGTTCAAACGGGCGCCACCAAGGAATAGGCTTGGTCTTCGCTGCATCGCAGAAGATCAGAAGGCCATCGAACTTTGGTATGCGCTCGGGAGGCGACGAGGTAGGACCGGCGGCTGCTGCACAAATCGGCAATTGAAGCTGCTGATTTGTTGCTTGCTGCTGCGGAGCATCACCCTTGAGCGTACTTTGGCAACCTCGAAAAAGTTGATGCGAACGGGGAGGTTGGAAGGCCCGGCATCTAGAGTGGCAGTGGGTCGCTATTCCAGCAACTGTACGCGGCCAGCGAACTGTGCGACGGTCTGCTTGTGGTAATTGTTGCATACTGTAACGGTGCAGACGAGAACAAGGACCGACCTCTCTCACAAAGTACAAGATAGCATAGCGGAAGACTTAGATACCAATGATCCGAACAATCAATATTACAATGCAGCCCCAACATACATTATCATCGTTCCACGGTGTGAAGGGGCCTAGCGCTCACACAGGACGAATGCGCCAGTCCCCGCCATACACAGACGAAGAAGAGGGGGGTTAGACGAAGAAGAGGGGAAGATGGGAATGTCGTCAACACCAAGTCTTCGGCACAAGCCCAAATAGTCCCTCGTCAAAATGTCTGAATCCCAATGTCGAGTCTGGATCTAATGTCGTCAAGTCTCAAGTCACAACTCTCTCTCTCTGTCATAGTCCGCGGATACTAAGAAGTCAGGTAGTAAGAGGGTGAATAAGAGATGGTGGACTTAAAAGAGGAAGAAGAAGAACTCTCTCTCTCTCTCTCTCTCTCTCTCTCTCTCTCTCTCTCTCTCTCTCTCTCTGATACTAATCTGTGAAGCTGGCGCCTTGATG